TGCTAGCGAGTCCCCTGGTTTTGTCCCCGTTTTCCATATTTTTGCATCGTCTGCAAACATTAATGTATGTGGCCCGAGAATGTCCGTTAGGTCGTTTATGAAAACAAGGAAAACTTGAGGACCGAGCAGGAATCCCTGTGGAACTTCTCGTGCTACGCTGATGGGATCAGAAAGTGACCCAGAAAAGCGAACTGCCATGGTGCGTTATCCTATAAATTCCCCTATCCAACTAAGTATAAGTCCCCGAATTCCGTGATTGTGTACTTTCCTCAGCAGTATTTTGTGCTTCACTCGATAGAATGCTTTGGAGAAGTCGAGGTACACGATGTCCACTGCATCACCGCGATCAGCTGCTTTTGTCCACTCTTCTCGGGCCGGAAGCAGGTTAGTGGTACACGATCGTCTGCGACGAAACCCATGTTGAGCGGGGGATAACACGTTGTATTTTTCCAAGTGACTCATCACATTGTCTGCAACAATCGGTTCCATGACTTTGGATAACACGGGGAGGAGAGTAGTGGAGCGGTAGTTAGCTGGGTCACTACGAGAACCAACCATGTATATTGGAGAAATTATTCCTTATTTCCATGTTTACGGGAGCGCAGTGTTGTTGAACATTTGTTGGAATAGTTTGCTTAGTGATCGAGCTAAGTTACTCGCCAGGTTGATAACGGTTTGTTGGTGGGCATTTATTTATCCCTGGAGATGAGTTCCTTTTCAAACACTGCAGTTTCGATGCAACGATTTCTGGGGGAAAATCAATTGCGGTGAGCACTGGGTGTGATGTATCCTCAAGTAACAGAGACAGTCGTAGTCCGGTGTTCGCAGGTGCGGTGAACACTTGAGCGTACTGTCGTTTTAACACTTCAGCTGCCCTCTTTGTTGTCAATGAAACACGTTCTGCCCCTCTTAGCGCTGAATCGCCAGACTTAACTGTTCTGATAGCATTTATGTGTTCGTACAACAGCTTGGGATTGGATATGAACTTGCGCATGAGCATTTCTTGGTGTATTAGCTTGTCTTCTCGCGCCAAATTGATACAGTGGTTTGCAAGTTGATCGGAACGTATACCATCTGTTGTAGCAAAGAGATCGTTTATGTGCTCTCCATGAGGTATTCCTCTGGGAAGTCCACTTTTTTGTCCGACTGCGAATCGTAGATCTTTGACCAGTTGAGTAGGTGATGCGTTTGGTCTTCGTCGCGCCCTTCACCATTTCCGTCAGGTGATTTGTACATGAAGAACATCAAGAACAGGGAGTAGTGGATTTTTTGAATTAGTGGAATATCTTTGTTTTTTAGAGCCTATTTCTCGCTTCCATATGAATTTCCGTTTATGGGTGAAACAAGGATTTAGACATATCACCGACTACTATGATAACGGATGCGGGAGAGAGGGGTACTCTGTGAGGTATCTGGTGGGACGTGAACGGCAGATCACATATAAAGCGTTGTGCTAAGTGACACGGTTGCTTAAAGATTTTCTAAATTAGTTGTGCACCCAGACAGATTGAGAGTGAAGATATGTAGGAGGGAAATGGTGCCAGTTGTGAGGGGATATATGACTTACCTAAAAGCCACCTTTCTGGGAAATCGAAAAGTTCGATAACAGAAAAATTTCCTAATGGTGAAATAATTACATCACAAGTTTTTGGTAAACAGTGAAAGGCGTGATGAAACAAAACCTTCATATCCAGAACACCCTCTCTTCAACCGGTCAAAACGTTTTGTTGAAACGTTTCCAGCAAATTTTTTAATCATATGAATATTTCCGTTTAATCTTCTCAATCGCTGACGTAAAGCAAACTAGCACATTTATAACACATTAGATTTGTAAATCCTAGTGAACGGACAGGTACAGTTAGACAGGGATTATTAGAATTTTTTTTAAATGTACAGGTCAACTCCACGGTAAGTGAACTGATTGGATCAACAACTTTTGGACACACATCCCATTCTGTGTGCCCAAAAGTTGTTGATCCAATCAGTTCCGCTGATGCACACAAGCGAACAAGCTGCCCTTATTCGTTTCGATAAAGCATTTTTCGTGAACTAATATCCCGAAGCAGATTGATCCTACTCATATATACATATACATATATATATGTATATACATTATTGACTTGGGATGAAGCACTGTGTCAACGGAACACCAGTGAAAATGGAAAGNGGAGCGTACGATGGTGGCCTGGTGGTAACGCCACCAAATTTCAACCCCGAAGGACGTATGTTCGAATCCCATCACCAGCGCCTGAATTTCCCGATTTATGTGTTGTATTGCAGCCCTTTGATTGACCGCTTTCCCCTTCTTGAAAATTGTATCATAATGTATTAAATAAAATAGTAAAATTGAAACAAATGGAGAACAAGGAGAGGAACAAATATCAAAGAATAGTAAGTAGAACAAGACTAACAATGTTTTTGGATCAATCCAGTACTTAAAGAGAAGCACAATATTGAGTTATCAGAACGTTCATAGCTAGAGGAGGATCGAGAACCGCATGACTACTGTCAGATTGGTATAGGCTCAAACGAATACGCCACTAATTGAACCCATGTGACAAGTGAGACTATCATAATACCGTAAGAAGTTAAGGGTTGTTCACCGGTTGACTAGCACTCCTCACATGTAAGATGTGATTAACGTAGTTGAGCTACATTTACTCAATGACGCGCAAATACTGGTATTTTCGGTTGAATTGCACGAGACGATCAACACATAGCACTGTTGGAATTTACAAACAGTGGATAATTTTCATGTCACAACCGGGACAGTACCACGATGAGTTCACAGGATGCTAAATTTGCCTCCAGACTACAATATTCAGAGGTGGTTTTGAGTATTGCATAGAGCTGATCGGTGAGGAAGTTGAAAGTATCCTAATCGAATGAGCTACGATCATACGCTCATACCATACCCGGTATGTTTGCTAACAGATTATTGTTCAGCAGAACGAGGATTATGGCGCAAAGATGTGGATTTTTCCGATTAGCTTGTCTGTGCATCCCGATGTTACACGCATCCTGTCTGTGCCTGTAAATTGTTGGACGATAGACATCAGTCACTGATTATACGACTAAAGCGATGACATTTTTTACCGGTTTGTTCCACTTATCCATCAGTCTGAACAACAAAACTTTTTCCAATACTCATTGGGATTAGAAAGATATAGTGCTCATACATCCAGAAACAATGAAAGAATCGTGATTTTTTTCATACTGTACAGTCAAAGATCAAAGATTTATTCTGGGAATAACTTACAAGTTCATGCTTTTCTCGTCCCATAGGTTTTGTTGTGGTTGAAAGACAGTAATATAAATAATTCCTTTTGTACAATGTCACATGATACAGACTTCTTCCACTGTTACACACAGCTTCACTTCACTTATGTTGGAATGTAAGGTGTGCTAATGCTTCATCGAGTCTCAGTTTGAAAGATTCAATGCTTGACGCACAGACTACCTGAGGTAGGAGAGAGTTCCGGATCGAACACACTCTGACTGCAACTGACTGACGTCGGCATTCCACTAGTTTGAACGGATTTCCTCTAAGAGGAACGTTGGGTGATAATTTTAGCAGCGGGCGACACGAATGGCTTGGGTTTTGCATTAATTGGTATACCATAATCATATCTCCTCTGATGCGCCGGTAGTGATTGGGATATAACCACAGCGACTTCAATCTCTCATTATGATAGTTGTGCTGTATCTCCTTCCCTCACCCTTCATATATGCTATTCTAATATAGTGATATTACAGAAGGTAAATGATTCAATTTAAATTGCTTAAAATAGCCAACGAAGCAGGATTACTTTTGCATAATTCGCACCTTTTGATAGCCTGATTCAAATTGTCCGATGCTTTGGCCTGAATTGGTTCATCCAAAGAGATCGAATCCGATTGTGCCATAGTAGGGTGATCGGTAGCCTGAAATCAATATTCAATATGAAAAATTTGAGTATATGAATTCATTAAATCACAAAAAGACTAAATTGGGGTTTTCGGAAGTCGATTCAAATTGGAGTTCATGAGTTTTGAGCGAGCCTTTTAGCAGTGACCATAAACGATCGCTTGATTTAATAAAAACTTCAGTATCATGTCACATTGAGTAAGATGTGTTTTGTAACTTGATATAAAACATTATGAATCTCATACTTTTTATTTTGAATACCCATTGAAAATCAATGTCTCGGATATAGTTCGCGACATGAATCGAGTGTAGTGGTTTTTCTTTCAATGAAAAGCTCGATGAAAATTCATATATCTGCTGGATCACCCATTGGGCATGAGATGGAGATGCTAGATAAAAAATGTTGTATCACATGGTATTCCACTAAAGCATTTGTTTTTCCAAACTCAGTGAGCAGAAAAGAATGAAACTAGTAGAAAAACCAACGATCATTGGACCAGTTATTACAGGCAATCACAATGTTATATATATATATATATGTAGCATGCACATAATATGGGACCGTTGCTTTGTTCTATTTTGAAATAATCGGCTCCTGGGTAAACATCAGATATTGAACCTAGATGTACTGTATGGGACCTTATCACACGCGGCCTTCTGTTCTGTTTTGGACGGTCACCAGCATAACACTATACACTTCCAAACATCTTAGTACTCTTCTCATCATTGTTAAGAAATTTCTTGCAGTTCGATGACAGCACCCTGTGCCAGAAAAATTGATTGTATTTCGTTGAATGAAACATGATCTTCTCAGTGATCAGAAGTAATTGGATTTATTCAGATTTCTTGAATTAGGTTAGAAAAAGATGGAGAAACAGAAAATGATTCATGCTTTCTCAAACTTAGTCATGATCTCGGTCAGTTAGTGTCAGAGTTCAAAATAAATGTGGCTCTGTTTACCGATTACTAAAAGGTGATCAAACGATCAGTAAATAATGATTCGGTCTAGAATTATCGACTTAAAAGGAGACTAAGCTCACCTGGGAACCTCCTGCCCCACCGACACGAATTTCACCATCAAGTACGAAACTCATGTTACATTTCGTATCTTGTCGAAAACAAAATGCCCCGTCCGGACAAACTTGTTTTGCTATTCTCTTCTCCAAGTTTTGTGAACCCGGTATGTAGTTGTCGTCAACTGCTGATGTGCCTCTGAGCGCAACATGAAACGTCTGCTTCGATTCTTCTCGTCCCGCAATTCGTTCGTCCAAGAAAGGCTGATATACGCCCCAGCGTACAGTGAAGACAGCTTTTGTCTCTGATGTCACAGAGGACGCCTTCAATGGAATTGAAATGTTAGACAACGAATTCAGGTCAAATTTGGGCATTTGATCAAATTAAAATGAGAGTTCGTGGTTGATTTTTTCACGTGACTTCCATGCGACTGTTTTATTACTGTTTTAAAGTGAAGTAAATTGCCTTCATGCCACGGTCAACATACAACTTCCATCTAAAAACAGTGCTGAATTTTATTGAATACCATTTTAAAATGTTTCCATTAACGTTTTCTGCATTATCAATCTAACTGTTAACTGCTATTCGCTCATTTCATTATAAAGTACATAACTCAAGCCTTAAGTCATAATAGAAAGGAACTGATTTATCTCTTCCATTATGAAGAAATAGCATAAACGTCGGTGTATGACGGCGGCCTTTGTTCAAACATAACTCCCTGTTGACAATCAAACTGTTCTCGCTGTACGTTCCATACAATACTTCGGCTTTTCTGCCTACCAAGATATAACTTCACATTTGAACTGCGACTCTTAAAAGATTCCACAGTGGTGTTTATTTTCCATGCTTACCAGTTTTAAGCGTTTCGCTGGAATTATTCACGCGTTTGTATATTCTTGTGTTTTCACTCATCTTCTTTACTGCTTCACTGGTTTGTTTTCCGGTCATAGAGTTAAAGACTATGCAATTTGATGTAGATTTTCTAAGACATTTTTGGTTCATGAGTGGTATTCCTCCATTATAATTTGCTCAACTTCGTCACCGGCAAACAATTTACCTCTTGCTAAAGCTTCGGTAACAATGTTCCAACAGAACTTACACAAACTTCGAACAATGTGCATATATTTAGGGTTCTCCGGGTTAAAATTGTGAATCAGTTAGACAGAATCTTCTGGTAAATACTACAAAGCAATGTATACAACACGACACGAGGAACTAGATCATAGTAGATTTCTATCAAATAGAGGAAATACGTTCCAAATGCACCGGAAAGTGTTTATTTACCCAGGTCCAGCGAACAAAACTACCTTGATCAGGTTCAGAATGATCAGAGTTGTTATCCATTAAAAGCGCTGGCATTAGGAAGATGAACCAAATAACAAATAATATCCACTGTGAGGTTCTCTAGTGGACTCTCTCGTTCTCTTTGTGGAGGTATTTTGTTGCATGTTTTGCACTGATCTCACAGGACAATGACCAAAGTTCATGAAAGTGCAAAGCTAGTGGTAATAAAAAGCTTAACACAAGTGAAACTATTCCGATCCGATTGTTTTCCGGTTTTACTAAAGTTCGAAGACAAATAAAAAAATTGGTTTCGAAGGCTGGCAAACCTTTGGAGTGAAATCTTTTTTTCTTAGTTCAAAAATTTTTTGCTCCTAGTGACTTAGTTCTACTGACAGATATGGCAGCATACTTAGTTCTGTTGAAGTCGCCTTTACTTTATCCTCAGTTTTGAATTTTGGTCAAATTTGAAAACTTTGTTTCGTATAACACACTGGTGTCCCTCTTGATCTGTTCAACTCAATCTCCTTTATGAACTCTGGAACGAGTTGCAAATCGTGGTTTGCAATTTAATCAAATCATGCCTAAATAATTTGAAGTGGTAAATAAAAGCGAATTTATATTAAGATTCAAAAGGGCATGTAAATTCTTCCTTCTGTACTTCCAAATCATAAACCGATTGGCTTCTTTTTTTTTCTTCAACCGATGGGTATTTTAAGTGCATATATGTGCAACTTCTTTTATAAGATAGGATTGTGCAATGGCAGTAAACTCTTCCTAATACTCCTAAAAGCAGTTATGTGTGTAATTCTTATCAATGTTTGATAAGAGAAACTTATGATACTTATAAGTTAACTTGTTTATTTAATTCAATTTGTAAACAGTTTCGCCATTTTCTTCATAACAGTATTCAAGACAGTGACACCCCAAAACTTTGATACTCGCTCACTGCGTATACTTAATGAAAGCCTAAATCACAAAATTTGTGAATCTTTTTCAAATACCTACCCTTCTTTGCGATTCCGAACCGCGATCACATATTGTGTACTCCATAACAAAGACTATAGCACATTCTGGATCTCGAGGCATCGCAAGTTGAACCGCATTTCGAGCGAGTAAACAAAAGCTCTCCCTTGGAGCTTTCTCCGATATCTTTTCCTCTTCATTTAGGGAAGCCAATCTTGAAGGGCTCGGAACACAGGAACGTCGCCGTTTTATAGTGTGTTCAGATGTTTCACTGCATAAATCCAGAAGTACCAAAGGAATAGGATCCACAGCACGATACCTGTTGTGATAAAATATCTGTGCAAAAGTAATAAATTAATATCTTATAAAGAGCAGTAAAAGTAGTATTATCATGAAAACCAAATAATAATCAAGTTTGTGAAAATATTCGAATAGTTTATATAGGCATTAACATGGATATATGTTTAGTACCGCTCAGATTCTTTTCAAGTCCTTAGCTATCCGCCTAATCACTTAGATTTTGAATTCAATCTTTTCTGCATTAATAAGCTAAATGTATTAAACCGTGTTCAACTTTTATCAGGAAGTTTATGCTGAACTTATCACTTACCCAAGCTCCTTTTAAATGCTTATCACTGCAATACAAAAAATTTGTAAAAATAAAGCACTTCAAAATAATGTGTGCATATTCGTCACCGGTTTGCAACCGAGCATAGTGCCGACGCAAGATCGATAATGTTTAGTAATTTGTGCTGAAAAATTTAACTAATGGGCGACCTGAATATACCACTTCCTCAGCTTTTTCAAAACTTTTTACCATTGTGTCGAACATAGTATGCGAATTTTCATTGACTTACTTGAAGTGCTTTCACTTGTATTCAGGTTAAAATGAATGAGGAAGAGCCAATTAGGTCTTGATAATTTGATTTAGATCCTGAACTCGAAGTCCAAATTTTAGTTCTTTTATGGTTTCATATGATACTATCAAAAGATGTTTAGTTAAAAAACCCACAGTATCCAGTTTCGAGCCTATTCCTTTAAATCAGGTTTTAAATTACTTTACTTGACAGTCTTACCATCTTTCGTTTTTGCTTACCACCTGTTCAGCTTATCGCCGAGCATTCGGTTACCCAAGTACCGCCAGTCACAGGTGTTACACTTCGTTTGTGGTAGCCACTGTTTGTTCTTTCGGGGAGTGACTAATTTTACTTTGCTGGCTTACCTTGTTCACCTTTTCTGTCTGAGTTGATCTTTCAAAAGCCTCTAGTATTTTCTCATTTATACATCTTGAGAGAACTCTGAGACTTTCTTTCCCCAAGGAATATTGAGTTAATGTGTGGAAACACTTCTGACCTAATTCTCATTTACAGTTTGTTGGCAAGAATTGAACATATTTAATCTGTCTTAGATTCTCACATAGTCTGCCATCTTGCAGAGCTACTGGTTTAAGTCTCAGCTTCTGAGCGTAGCGAAAATTCTCCTACAAATCTGACGAACTATGGTGAAAGAATCCAGTACCTGGATTTGGGGGTGATTTCGGAGTTTGAGTGCTAAGCGCGAATTCCGGAGCTCCATTTTGAATACTATACACACTGATACACTTCGAGAACAAACTAAACGCAAAACTGCAGGTAAAGTTAGATTTAATATGGATCAGTTTCCACCAAATGTTCAAAAAATAAAGCACATAGGTTCAATGTTTGAACTAACTCAAAGATTTGTGAGCACTTACTTTCAAACGTCGCTCGTTTACTTGAGGCATTCCGGTAAAGGATGATCTTGGACGACTTCCACGATGAAGAATGTTTTCTCTTATTGATTCACAGAATTCTGATTCAAATTGATTTAATTTAATAGGATCTACGACCAAGGTCAAATTGCAGAGATAAACCGTAGTCGCTGACTCAAGACACCCCGCTTTCAGTCCGGCTGATACATCAATACCTGGAATTCTTTGGGAAGACGACAACAGTGTGTTTTCTGGTAGTAAGCCGGAACATTTCTCCAAAACAGGGTGCATCTCAACAGAATAATGTACGGCAAATTTATTCGACGATGATCCCTTTAGAGAATTCATGCAAGAAATATCTTCAATGTTGTTGGAAATCACAATAATCGTTACCTGGAAATGCATATATAGACCTGCAAGGTCCCAAATGTAAAACAGTGGCACATTTACAGGTTCCTTTGTTTTCTGATATCAAATTTTGCATCGGTTCAGCACCCCAACAGCCAGCTAGTCCCTGAGTTTCGTCTGAAGGATCGTAAATTGACAACTCAAAAATCAAAAAATGGGTTTTCTGGATATCGCTGGAGCTAAGATAAAGTGACTAGGACAATGAAAAAATAAAAAAGGAACAAGATGTACACATACATCATTTAGAATGACCCCAATTCGATTATCCGATGTTTTCTGTGAACGCAATATTTCACTGCGCCATAATCTCCCCAACATTGTTCGCGACGAAAAATCAAAGAAGAATAGCGTTAATTTGTACTTCGCGGTGTCATTTGATATCTAATAATAAATTAACAGTTATCAGTATATATATGATCATATTCGTAAATAGAACCATGGTTGTATTCATGAATGGATTCATGCACGAATGTATTCACGCATGAATATACATGTATATTCATGTATTCATTTTATTTATTCATGCGTGCGCGCGCGCATGAATAAATAAAATGCCGCAAACGTGATCAAAAAAAATAACTTATTAAATAACAAACTATTGCATAAAAAATTCAATATTAAATAATTATTAATAAGCTATGGTGATTATTAACCAAAAGTTAATTAATTAACTTATTTATCCAATAAAAGTTGGCGTACTTGTAAATTTGGTAGATCAGCATGGCTAAGATGGATCTTTAGGTATTTAATCGGCTCCTCTTCAACTTCTTCATTGATGTATTCCAGGAAAAGCGGAGACCAAATCTTGGTCATCACGGTTGCTGATGACGCCGCTGTTCGTATTGAGCGCAATTATTCTCAAGGTCAAATCTGTCAGTTCAGTTCAGTTCAGTTCTCCCAGGACGAATTGTGGCTCTTGCCAATCGCGCGT